GGATTTTATATTTTACTAAGCAAACAATGGTCGTTACAATATAATAACCATTTTTTCCTTATTATTTTCCAGTAAAACAATGTGTGCGTGTGTATATATATATATATATAATATACACACACATACATGCATGCATACACACATTGTTTTACTGGAAAATGCTAAGGAAAAAATGGTTATTATATTGTAACGACCATTGTTTGCTTAGTATTTTTCCAGTAAAATAATATAAATTATATTATATTATTATAATATAAAAAAAGGTATCGTGTGAGATGCATGCAAAATATTTACATTTTCCTTGTCCTCTTTGCACAGTGAGATCGACAAAAACATTGACAGTATGACTAACCTGCGACGAGACAAATGGGTGATCGAGGGGAACCTACGGAAGTAAGACACTTGTTTACACTCATCACATAAACACACATACAGTAATTACTTACTGATCTTACTGTATATAATGCAAAACACAAATCACATTTCACTTAGTGATCGCTAGTCTTCCCGTGGTCCATAATACACAGTTCACTATTTTGAATATGACAAATATAAAGATACACTATTGCAATTTCATTCACCTTGCATTTTGATATTCAACAATATTTTGCTGCCTTTGCACTGTGGTTTCCTTCAGAAAATGCCGATCTAGTTATAATTTGATTATGATACTCTGTTCAGCTAGATCGTAATGCATAATTTTTTTGGTTATTATTTTTCAGACTGAGAAGCATCTATGTTAAGAGGACGGGAAAGCGAGAGAGCAGTGTTGGAGGAGAGGAGGGTCAGTCCACCAGTACGCCTGCAAACAGCCGTAAACGCAAGCGCAAAGGAGGGGAGAGTGATGAAGATGATGAGGAAGATGATGACAGCGATGAACAGGGAGAGGAGGATGAGGATGAAGATGATTTTGTTGGGAAGAAAGGAAAAAAAGCAGAAGCATGTGAAGATGAGGTAGAGTGCATTTTTTTTCTTTGGTGAAAAAAAAATATAGAAATGAAAAAGAAAACCAAAATATTAAATGCCATGCATGATTGTTTACAGAGTAATCCACTATTTTGTAGAGAGGGGGCTAAAATTGGCACCTGAGATTTGGAGCCAAATTGCAGGGTGGGAAAATTTACTTTATAAAGATGCCACTCAGCATCATTGTTATTTATATTATATATGTTATTTTTTACACAGAGATTGGTAGGTCTGCTAGTAAAATCGGTTGACTTTAGCGATACTTGTTGCAATAAATACCAATGGTGACAGTCCAAAAATTGGAAAAAGCACTTTTTCCCCAAAGTTGGCATGCCTTTAACTCAAAAAGTAGTAAAGATATCTTAATATCCTTGTAGATTTTGATTCTTGACAAAATTTTCTTTCAATATCCTCATTTTTATGGCCCTACATGGTTAATTCCCAGAGAGATGGAGATTTTGATGTGGCTTTGTGTACAGATTGTTGAATTTTAACCCATTTTCAATGGCTGAAAAACCAAATGTGGTCACTTTGCCTGTAGGTAATACTTATCTATTTATTTTCCTTCTTAATATTCAAAAATATTAGCTGGGGAGGTTTCTGAAATTTGATTGATTTGACACGGAATGACCCTAATGTACAGTATGTGTTCAAAATGTATTCATCTGACATTAGATTTTCAGTCATTTTTTTAGTTTAGTTTTAGTAATGCTCTCTTTTTTTGCACTGAGAAGGAGGTTTTGAGCTCTAAAAGTTGTTTGCTATGTTTTTATGGAACAAAAACTAATTTCTCAAGAAAATTGAACTCGTCATGATGTTTTAGCAGCATGTCAGCTGTTCTTGGTCTTGTTTTGCAGGATGAAGGTGATCAAATCACAAGCATTGAGGAGCTGGAGAGACAGATTGAGAAGCTCCGCAAGGTAAATGAACATCAGATTTTGGATCTTACAACATGTTTTTGTCAAATAACCTTTTTAATACATCAGGCTTTTGTGGCTCATATAGGATGAAATACTGAGAATATGGAGAAAAAAACAGCTCAGTTTTATTGAGAGGCCCAAACTGAGCAAAAATAGCAATTTGGTGAAGATGCTGATATTTATATGGCCAAAAAACAAGATGAAATTCTGATGCTTGTAATGTAAATCGATGAGATCTTTATAACAGTATAGCAGAATACTTACATAAAATGATATAAATATCATTTAGATGCCTTAGAAAGGTCTGTGTATGAATAAATCTAACAGTCAGTCCTTTTCTTAGTGACTGTATGTTATTACATCAGCCTAAAATGCATAACCAACCAAACAATGCATAAGAGATAGAACAAAAATCTTATTGTATGTCATCTGTAGAGGACATCAGGAATCAGTTATTAAGAAAATGAAGGCAAGACACCACAGGCAAAATCTCATTAAATTCATTAAAAACAAACGTCCTCTATAGAGGACAAAAAGGAATAGCTGGCTCCCAGGAGGATAACATGCCTATACTTGCTTTAACTAAATGTATTGTGCTGAATGTGTGGAGATATGACAGATTCATTACTTGTCCACTTGCATATTTCCAAACATTTTTAATAAAGAAAGATAAAGTAGAATACATCTGTCTTATTGATTCTCTTCCAGCAACAGACTCAGATCCGTCGGAAGCTGTTCGAGGCCTCTCATTCCCTGCGCTCCGTGATGTTCGGTCAGGATCGTTATAAGCGACGCTACTGGGTTCTGCCGCAGTGTGGCGGGATCTTTGTGGAGGGACTGGAGAGCGGAGAGGGTGAGAGAATGAGACTGCCTTTGTCTTCACATTATGATCTTATTCATCTTCTGAAGGAAGGATCGGTCAAGATAACAGGATATGACAGAAACCGGGTTGAATGTTTTAAACAGAAAAAGATAGTGTTAAAGCAATTAAAGCAATAGTTGAGAAAAATTCAATTCTTTCATGATTTACTCACTCCAAATCTAGTTGAATTGCCTATAAAAACTATACAAGACTTTTTTAAAAACATTTTTTAAGCTTTCAAACAAGACTGTCAAGCCATCATTTAGAGCAGGGTTCCACAATTAGTTTTCGCCGAGGGCCGAATTCTGCCAACAATACCAAGCCAAGGGCCACTGACCTATATATATATATATAGACTAATGAGTTCTATTGTATTTTATTGCGTCGCGCCGCTCGCGTCCGGTGTAGACACGATGTAAGTTAATGTAGCTTTCTGATGCTGCGTTTGAATTTTCATGCCACATTATTTGAAATTAGTGTGGGCCAAACTTTTTTCTCTCACGGGCCGGATGTGGCCCGCAGGCCGCCTATTGAGGAACCCTGATTTAGAGTGTGTCTTGCATGGAAGCCTGTATCCGCTACTTAATAATAAAATAAAACAAGGTAACTGCAACTTTTTATCTTACAATTCTGACTTTTTTTCTCACAATTGCAAGTTTGCAACTTTTTTTCCTTTTACTTTTATTTCTCAGAATTGCGAGTTTATATCTTGCAATTCTGACTTTAGAACTCGCAACTGCAAGTTATAAACTAGATATAAACTTCCATTAACAAAAGGGAAATATAAAATATAAAAATTAATTTTAAATGGTAAAAATGCTATATTATTATCTCAATTATGCTAAAAAAAGCTGATCTTGACAAACGTCCCTTTTTTTTGTTGTTAAAAATGGCACGTTGTAGTTAATTTCTGAAGGATCATGTGACACTGAAGACTAGATGCTGAAAATTCAGCTTTGCATCACAGAAATAAATTACATTTTAAAGTATATTCAAATAAGAAAACTTTCTTTTAAATTGTAATATTATTACACAGTATTACTGTTTTGTTTTTTTACTGTATTTTTGATCAAACAAATGCTGCCTTGGTGTGCAGTAGAGAAGAAAAAAAAAAGCCTAATTATTCCAAACTTTTGACTGGTAGTTTATATATACACATATATAATATATAAATAATATACAAGTAATATTATGGTATATAAGAAAAATATAAGCAATACTTAAGAAATGTATATAAAATATTTTTATTTTTTCCTTCTTTTAATTTTCAGGGAATATGACCATGACTACTAGACTTTTTTTTTTTTTTACATGACCAGTTATTTTATTGAAACAAACCTTTGTATAAATGTGCTGCTGATGATGATATCTTGTGCTCCTTCAGGTCCTGAGGAATTGCAGAGGGAGCGTGAGAGGTCGAAGAACGCTCACCTCGTCCAGGTCAAAGAGGAACCTGATGAAAAATACGGCACCGCTGAGAGGAAACAAAAACCTCCGCAGGATGTAGATTCTCTCAACCTCTTCCTGCAGAAACCGGATTCTTTCTCCAAGCTCAACAAGCTGTTGGAAGTGGCTAAGATGTCTTCTGAGGTCTCTTGTCACCAATACAGCAGCCCAAAACAGCAGACTACATTACGCAGAACACCTAACCATGTTGTTAAACCTGATCTCAGTGATTCTTGTCTCCTCAACAACACCTACCTCACTAATGCCCAACAGCAGATCTGTAACGAGCAGCTTTATAAGGTTCTGACAGAGAGAAACGCTCACTGGTTCAGTCTGCTGCCTCGCTCTCCATGTGACGTCTCGTCTCTGACTGAAGGTCCACATTCAGCATCATCTTCCTCACCACAGACCACAGCGGTCTCTGCCGACCCCTACAGCGCTGCGCGGATCAATAACTTTTCATTAGCAGCACTGCAGGTATGATCGTGTAGACCAGGGATTTCTTTATTTTGTCAGACAAACCCCTTAAACTTAAAATGTTTATTTAAAACCCTCCTGAGATTTTAGGTTTATATTCCATAATTTAACATCACATTTGCATTTCCATGGTTCTCGGATGTTGGTTAATGGTCACATGACATGCAAGTAAACCGATTTTAGCTCTTGATTATGAAAATTAATATGTAATTATATAAATACTGTATATTACTGTTGTAAATTACACTTGTTCTGTAAAATAAAAATTTGAATATTTGATAATTATAATTTATATATAATATAATATATAATATTCTCTAAAATGTATACTGTATAAAATATATATATTTTTTATAATTTCATATAATATTAAATATAATTTCATAAAAATGTTGGGAATTATGCAAACATGTAAATAAAGTGAACCAATACATTGCATTGCCAAAACGCACATACTTAATTAAATTGCAGCCTTTGATTTGATAATCGCACTTGGCTATTTTGCAATTTCAGTTTTATTTCGATTAATTGTGCACCCACATTTATTTATTTTAATTTGACATTTGGTTTAATTATAAGCTTTTCATCAACGTATGCACCCCGTTTGGGAATCCCTGTTGTAGACCTTATGTATGTTTCTCATGTTTCTCATGTGTGCTTTGACTATAGACTGCACCTCTGTGTTTGCAGTTGAAGTCCGGTGTGCCCATTGTGCCCATTACTACACTGGACGCGACAAAGCATTGCAAATCATTTGAACGTTGTCAAATAGACCGAGTCAGCAGTTTACTATCGGGGATTTGTCGTGTCGCGCCGCATCCAAGACAGCATCACTGATTATAATGAGTTCTATTGTATTTTATTGCGTCGCGCCGCTCGCGTCCGGTGTAGACACGATGTAAGTTAATGTAGCTTTCTGATGCTGCGTTTGAATTTTCATGCCACATTATTTGAAATTAGTGTGGGCCAAACTTTTTTCTCTCACGGGCCGGATGTGGCCCGCAGGCCGCCTATTGAGGAACCCTGATTTAGAGTGTGTCTTGCATGGAAGCCTGTATCCGCTACTTAATAATAAAATAAAACAAGGTAACTGCAACTTTTTATCTTACAATTCTGACTTTTTTTCTCACAATTGCAAGTTTGCAACTTTTTTTTCTTTTACTTTTATTTCTCAGAATTGCGAGTTTATATCTTGCAATTCTGACTTTAGAACTCGCAACTGCAAGTTATAAACTAGATATAAACTTCCATTAACAAAAGGGAAATATAAAATATAAAAATTAATTTTAAATGGTAAAAATGCTATATTATTATCTCAATTATGCTAAAAAAAGCTGATCTTGACAAACGTCCCTTTTTTTTGTTGTTAAAAATGGCACGTTGTAGTTAATTTCTGAAGGATCATGTGACACTGAAGACTAGATGCTGAAAATTCAGCTTTGCATCACAGAAATAAATTACATTTTAAAGTATATTCAAATAAGAAAACTTTCTTTTAAATTGTAATATTATTACACAGTATTACTGTTTTGTTTTTTTACTGTATTTTTGATCAAACAAATGCTGCCTTGGTGTGCAGTAGAGAAGAAAAAAAAAAGCCTAATTATTCCAAACTTTTGACTGGTAGTTTATATATACACATATATAATATATAAATAATATACAAGTAATATTATGGTATATAAGAAAAATATAAGCAATACTTAAGAAATGTATATAAAATATTTTTATTTTTTCCTTCTTTTAATTTTCAGGGAATATGACCATGACTACTAGACTTTTTTTTTTTTTTACATGACCAGTTATTTTATTGAAACAAACCTTTGTATAAATGTGCTGCTGATGATGATATCTTGTGCTCCTTCAGGTCCTGAGGAATTGCAGAGGGAGCGTGAGAGGTCGAAGAACGCTCACCTCGTCCAGGTCAAAGAGGAACCTGATGAAAAATACGGCACCGCTGAGAGGAAACAAAAACCTCCGCAGGATGTAGATTCTCTCAACCTCTTCCTGCAGAAACCGGATTCTTTCTCCAAGCTCAACAAGCTGTTGGAAGTGGCTAAGATGTCTTCTGAGGTCTCTTGTCACCAATACAGCAGCCCAAAACAGCAGACTACATTACGCAGAACACCTAACCATGTTGTTAAACCTGATCTCAGTGATTCTTGTCTCCTCAACAACACCTACCTCACTAATGCCCAACAGCAGATCTGTAACGAGCAGCTTTATAAGGTTCTGACAGAGAGAAACGCTCACTGGTTCAGTCTGCTGCCTCGCTCTCCATGTGACGTCTCGTCTCTGACTGAAGGTCCACATTCAGCATCATCTTCCTCACCACAGACCACAGCGGTCTCTGCCGACCCCTACAGCGCTGCGCGGATCAATAACTTTTCATTAGCAGCACTGCAGGTATGATCGTGTAGACCAGGGATTTCTTTATTTTGTCAGACAAACCCCTTAAACTTAAAATGTTTATTTAAAACCCTCCTGAGATTTTAGGTTTATATTCCATAATTTAACATCACATTTGCATTTCCATGGTTCTCGGATGTTGGTTAATGGTCACATGACATGCAAGTAAACCGATAAAATATTTCATTTTTTTAGCAAGTGTTTTTTTATTTTAAATTTATTTATATATCATTATATATATGGGTACACCTATATAAGGCTTTATTATTATTATAATAATAATTAAAATTATTATTATTATTTTATTGCTATCTTGATTTAACT